AATTTCCCGTTATGGTGTTTTTATTTCAGATGGTTTTCCCCAAGCCACTACCAGGGATGGACCTTTGAGGTTGGTTGTCCTGATGTTGTTTCTGGCAAATGTTGTTATAGGCACTTGTCTATGTCATGTGCGCGTTATTAAGTTACAATGTTAAGCCTTTGTGGATTATTCTGCGGGCACCTACCGGTGGTGTAACGAGCTCATCATGACAAAAGTTCTTTGTTTGGGGATCCTTTATTTCAGCTTTGGATTTATAACGACAATTGCGCGCGAAAGAGAAAGGCCTGAATCTGTGTGCTAAGTAGCACAGGATACTGAAGAACATCACTGAAAATCTTGGTGTAAAGCTTCCAGAAGATGGCTTGAGCAGGCAATTGGTCCAAACTGCGACTCTTTTTTACATTACCATGTTTTCCTTTGTTTGCTTTTTGCGAGGGTATGGCAGTTTTGCTCACCAACAAACAAAAACGGACCTTTGTTTGGGAAGAACCCCCAAGGTTTTGGTCCCTCCCTGGTTTGTCCGGATATGTGAGAAACACGGATGATTGCATCATTTCCCGGGAGACCGGGAATTCATCTGAAAGGGAGACACACTTTGTTTTGATTTGGGCAAAAGGATGACAAACGGAATTCACCGTGTCTTATGCGTCCTCCATTTAATCGGCGTACAGCGACCTGTGCGACCTCGCCCTTGAAAGTTCTCTTGGATGTTTGTTTCAGTCGCCCAGATCGGAGTTCGCAAAACCCGTCCTCGAATGGCGCATTTGAGCAATTGGGCAACAGTTTGTGCTCGAAACACCAACATGTTAATCCTTGTGCCAGATATGGATTGCGTGGTTTCCCTTGTGGTGGTATCGCACTACGGACTACGGATTGGGGGCGGAGAATGTGATACTTTGGATTTTGTCAATGCGAAGCCGCAATGTCTGCGTTTTGGTGCCCTAATGATCATTGGTGTTTAAGCATGAACCTACAGGTTTATGTTTTCATTTAATGGATGTTGGCCCCACATGAGCCAGTGCTGTTGGTTGTCTTGGGTTTTGATCGTGCCACCCTGCATTTCTATGTTTAGATGAGCGTTGAGGGTCGTAAGTGAACGCAACTAGCCGAAAACAGCCAAGTGGACCAACTTTTTGGCATGGCAATCACTTGAGCTGGAAGGCAACCAGCCAATCGAGTGTTTGCTTTGGGGTGCCAACCAGTGGTCAATTTGATGCAAGAAGCTGGATGATATGGGTGCAATTCGTTTGTCCTATTCATAAACGAACGCAGAAAATGCCAAGCCCTCCAGCCGACCTCAAAGATTGCCAATACTACTATTAGATGACCTAGTACTAAACCTACGAAACTCCCCATAAACCAGATGAACTCAGCCAAGCTTCCCAGATATGTCTATTAGGGGCCACCCTAGCAATGATCGCTCTTGCTTTTGTTTGAAAATCCAACATAAAGCAGAAGGGACGCCGTTGGGGCTGCGTTTTTTTGGGTAACCAAATAAACTGCAAACAAGCCTGCAAAAAAACAAACAAAACACTAAAAACTTAAACAACAACAACAACAACAACAGACAAAACAAGATTGCAGACCCTAACCCCCCCCCCCACCCCCCACCCCCAAATTTTGGGGTCTGCAATCTTGTTGTTTTTTGTTTTTGGCGAGGTTTCTTGCAATTGGACTGGTAGAGGTGATTTTTTTCGTAGGGCTATCCCCAGCAACACCAGCCTCGCCTGGACAATTGCCTCTGATTGGGAGGCAATTGGGAGGTGCTGGGGGCTGGTTTAAGTTAGAGAGGGTTTTGGCTGGCTTAGATGTTCGACTAGGAGGGGCCATTCCATGCCGATGTTGTCTGAGAAGACTACAGGAGAAACCAGCAAAATTTGAGCAGAACAACTTCTCAAGGCAGGACGCTGTATGCCGATTCGCCTCAAACTTTCATGGCGAGGCGGCCCTAAGGAAGCCAGTTAAATTTAATATTGTGGCAAAGTAAAACATGAAAGCTGCGAAGGGCTCCAAAAGTTTGAGAAAAGCCTTGCCACCAAACCTTCCCCTCCAACCAGCCAATTCAATGAGAACCCATGACACAAACGCTCCTTTCCTTTCTCTCATGCAGCCAGAACATGTGGACTGGGCCACGAGGGCTGTAACCCCAATGAAATCCGACTTGAACTCAGGCAACCGTTCCAGATTGGCGCGAGGCCCAGGTGACCCCTTTCAGTATTCTCACCTAGTATTGCCCTAGAATTCCCTGAGTATTCCCCTACTGCCTAAACTATATACACAAAAACGGAGAATCGCAAAGCAAAAAAAACAAATGCAAATTGCAGACCCTAACCCCCTTGGGTCTCCCCCCCCCCCCCCGCGTTGAGGTTTGTAATCTGGTTTTGTGTTTTTGGTTTTTGCTGGGTTTCTCAGGTTTTTGTGCGTTGTTTTTCTCTCAACTACTCACAAGACCTCAGAAGTTCTTTGGAATTGTTTTGCTAATTCTTTAGTTTTTGCTTGCACCTAGGTATCATCTTGCTTTTCCTCTAGTTTCTCTCGGTATAATCCTAGTATTTCCGCAGTTCCTCGTTCAGTTTTGACCCAGTATTGCTACAGAGTTCCCTGAGTATTCCTCAGTATTGTTTTGGTATTCCCTCAAGTATTTGTCAGGATTCCTCTCGTGTTCTTCCAGCATTTCTCAATTATTTCTCAGGTTCCTCCAGTGTTTTCTAGTATTCCACTCCTCCTTTTCCCCAAGTATTGTCCTAGAATTCCCTAAGCATTCTCCTCGTATTGCCCTAGTGTTCCCTCAATATGTTCTAAGCCCCCTGATATTATCCTAGTATTCCCCTAGTAGTGCCCCCTAGTATTGTCCTAGTGTTGCACAACTACTTCTGCTATTTGGATCAACTCAAGAATGTGACTTCTTGCATCTGCGTTCACGCAACTGCGATATTGTGTAGTCGGGAAACTTATATTCAATCAATATTATATGCGCAGCATGTTACTTGCAAAAACAGCTCCCAGGAATGCATCAAACGCCCCCCCCCAGGAATATGAAAAAACGCAGCCCTAGGACGTCCCACCCTCTAATAAAAGCGCTTGCGCAAGGCAACCAAGTTTCGAGTAAAACTTTATGAAGCGATCATAATGGAGACCCTAACAAAAACCGCGCACACACGGCCTCCTTTCCTTTTAAAGTTGCTACTCAACAGTTGCATTCTGAATATGTTTTTTCAAATCAAAGGGGTCCCTCTGTCAAATTTCGAGCCCAAAACTAGCGCTCCCTATGGCTTTGAATCAGTCGAACATAGGCTTAGTCCTCGGGTGGTGGACTATATGCACCCCGACGTGTGGGCAGACTTCAAGTTCATTGAGGACCGCCGACTTTTTTCCGCGTGAAACAAGCAAATGGTTTATGCGCCCAAGTGCAGCCAGCATTTGGGTTGTGTGTATTTTGCGTATATATATATATACAATACATGTACACAGTTATGCGCGCATATCTATACACATGTGTGTTGTTCTATGTGGGTGGGTGGGTGTTTATGTTTGCACATTGGTGTATGTGTGTATGCGCGCGCATGTGTGTTTGCATGTTTTTGTGTTTCGGTTGCTTGGGAATGTATGTGTGTGTGTGTGTGTGTTGGTGCGTGGGTGCGTGCGTGCGTGTGCGTGTGCGTGTGCGTGTGCGTGTGCGTGTGCGTGTGCGTGTGCGTGTGCGTGTGCGTGTGCGTGTGCGTGTGCGTGTGCGTGTGCGTGTGCGTGTGCGTGCGTGTGCGCGTGCGTGTGCGCGTGCGCGAGCGCGTGCGCGCGTGTGCGTGCGCGTGCGCGTGTGCGCGTGTGCGTGTGCGTGTGCGTGCGCGTGCGCGTGTGCGTGCGCGTGCGCGTGCGCGTGCGCGTGTGCGCTGCGCGCGGTGCGGGTGCGGGTGCGGGTGCGGGTGCGGGTGTGTGTGTGTGTGTGTGTGTGTGTGTGTGTGTGTTTGTGTTTGTGTTTGTGTTTGTGTTTGTGTTTGTGTTTGTGTTTGTGTGTGCGTTTTGGTTCCATGTGTGGGCGTGTGGGTTTTGCAGGCTGATACGTTTTGTGGTAGATGATGGTGTGTGTGTGTGTGTGTGTTTGCGTGGTTGCGCGCGTTTCTGTGCCGGTGTGTATTTGTTGTGTCCTTGGTGGTTTTGTTTGTTTTGTTTTTTTTCTTTTTCGCGTTTGCGTTTGCAGGTCGGTGTGTTGGGCGGTGCGTTTTGCGCGTTCGTGCGTGGTCCTGTGTGTGTGTGTGCCTGTATGTGCGTATTTGTGATTTGTTGGTTTGTGTGTTGATCTGTTTTGTTTTGTGGGTTTTGGTGTTGTTTGGTTGGGGTTTTGTTTGTTTTTTTTTGTGTACAGTACTTTGTTTTTGTTGTGTGATCAGTTGCAGTTACAGATGGGTTTCCTGAGGCCTGTCCCTGAAACAGGGCCAGTTCCAGGGTTTGCGCCGAACCTTTTGCGGATTTCTGGGGTCCATTGAGGTTCCTTTGAGGCTTTCCGTGCCCTTTTTGGGGCCAGGGGACCGAAGGCCAAGGACAAACCCATGGACATGGAACCGCTAAAGTCCAAGCCAACTACGTACGTTGGGTTGATTAACGTGGGGTAGTGATTAGTAAAAAGGCCCCCCCCCCAAAAAAAAGGTCAATAGAGCAAAAAGTAAAAGCAAGGTGGGTCCAGCCAAAGTAGCCTTCCAGTAAGTAGTTTTTAGTGTTGGCTTAGTATTGGTGTTTAGTATTGGTTCAGTATTCTTGGGTACTGGCTCAGTACCGGTTAGAATTGGTTTAGCGTTGGAGTAGTATTCCTTTCAGCTGGCCCACTCCTCTTTGGAATTGGTTTAGTCTTGGTTTAGTGTTGGTAGATTTCGGGTCACGGCAGGTGGCCCTGGCATTACAAGTTTCTTTTCGTCAGACGTTGCTGGCCCCACAAACTGTTTCTTATCCACCAGGAAAGCATTCAGGATTTGTTTGCCCCATTGTGTTTCTGTATTTCCTACCCTTCTTGCTTCTCAGGTGAGGAAAGTTGTTGTTTTTGGATTGACTCCCCTTTTATCCATCGCTGGGAAAGAACAAGAAGGGCTGGGTGGGGCCATTCCAGCCGCCATCTCTCCCTGTCGCACGGCTCCAGAACATTCAGACAATGTCCAAAGAGCTGGGCTACGGCGGGTGGACCGCGCCTGGGGCGAGGGAGGTTGGGGGGAAGTCAGCAAGAATTGTGTGGTGGTTTAGAAATAGGAATGATATATATATATATATATATATTTACACACACACGATTGGAGTCAAGTCTAACCTGTCCTTGGTGGGTCCGAGACTAGCGATGGAAGTCAAATTGAGTCCACACAACCTACAATCTCTACCCCAAAAAGTCTGCGAAGATGCACCCCGAAAAGACCTTCAGAATCTCCCGAAGCGCTTTGTCCCAAACAGTTGAGGGGTGTTTGTTCGCCAAGTTACGCCTATCCAGTTGTGAGCTCAAAGGAACGGACTGTGGCCAGACGCTCCTGGCCTGGCAACAACGCTCCAGATGCTGTTGTTGTTTTGTTGTTGTTTTTTTACCTTCTTGGTTGACTTAAGCATCAAATAGAAACGTGTTGGTTGCTGTCTTTTTGGGTGGAGGAATTGTGTATGCTAGTTTTCTCTTACAGCGGGGCTCCTGTCCACTTCCATGTTTGTTGATGGGAGGATACTATGGAGGGGGCACCATTTTGCCTAGCCTTGCGCTGACGCGTCCTCCTGTTCTGTTTGGTTTCAAGCATCACTGCCGCGTTGAGTTTCCTTGGGTGATGTCACTGCACCTGGCAAGGACAAGGCGACAATTTCAAGCAGGAAATAAGGGATCTCCAAGAAATGGGAGCGGCGCAAAGTGTTCACAACGGGATGGCCTTGCTTTGTTTATCCTGCTCGAAAGTGCGTTTGTGGCAGATTCTAGGGAAGGAATGGCCCGTTGAACCGGATAACCAAAAGGGGGGAGTTTGGGAGTCCAATGACGCAGAAGCAGAAAAGGCCTCAAGGCCTTGCCAGGATCATCTCCTTGTTTCGCGAGTAACTTCGATGATGCTTCAACAAGTGCGTTTGCGTCACAATAGCAGGGCCACAAAATAGTGGTTTTCCTTGTTGTGTCCATTTCAGTCAAGGGGGAAGGGGTGCTCTCAAACAAACACACACACACCCACACACCCACCCACCCACCCACCCACACACCCACACACACACCCACACACACCCACACACACCCGCACACACACACACACCCACACACACCCACACACACCCACACACACCCACACACACACCCACACACCCACACACCCACACACCCACACACCCACACACCCACACACCCACCCACCCACACACCCACACACCCACACACCCACACACCCCACACCCACACACCCACACACCCACACACCCACACACCCACACACCCACACACCCACACACCCACACACACCACACACACCACACACACCACACACCCACACACCCACACACAACACGCACACACACACACCACACACCACACACCACACACCACACACCCACACACCACACACCACACACGCACACACGCACACACGCACACACGAACACACGCACACCACACACCCCACACACACCCACACCACCACACCCACACACACACACACCCAACCGCACACCACCCACCCCCACCCACACCCACCCACACCCACCCACACCCACCCACACCCACCGACACCCACCCACCCACACACCCACACACACCCACACACACCCACACCTGCGCACGCGCCCGCGCCCGCGCGCACGCGCGCACGCGCACGCACACGCACACCCACACACACACACAAATTGCGGCCAACTTGTAGGGGACATCCTGCTCAGCCACAAGATTCCACTCCAAGTGGTTTTGTGTGTGTTTGTTGGTGGCATTCCTGCCGGGACCTTCAATCTGATTCAAGCTTTTTTTGCGGGCGTTGAGTGTTTTTGCAAGCACAATCTATGTAGTTCTTTTTGGGAAACCAGATGGGGATCCGGATCCAGCTTTGGGGGTGCCGACCGCCTTCCCTGCCCTGTGTTCTTTTCCACTTGTTTTTGTTTTGGAGGGGGGGAAGGGTTTCCCTTCAGAATCAACTAACCAAAAAAGGTTGCCCAGTGTACGCCTAGATCCATGTCGCTGTATAGGCAACGAAGGGAACCCTTCAAAGAACAAAAGGACAATGGCTGGCGACTTGCCATGAGTGGAGGAGGGATGCAGATCTTAGCGCAGGATCTACTGGCACGACAACCCCTACCCGCAGTTCTGGGGCCGCGGTCGCCGCGAGAAGGGTGCCAAAATGCGGACCAGGCTGGGGATCCGACCAAAGAGGACGAACGACTCGATCGATTTCAGGGGCGCTGCTTGCTGCGTGTTGGAGCTAAAAAGGAAAACCGGCCCGGTTTCCCTACACCGTTTTGGGGGCTGCCTTACTGGAGCAAACGAGGAATACCAGCTTCTGGGCTGAAATTGTAGGTGTCCGTGTAAAGCTGCGCAACAAAAACGCAGCATAGGGTCTGTCTTTGTGTGTGTGTGTGTCTCTGTGTCTCTGTGTCTTTGTGCCTCTGTGTCTCTGTGTCTTTGTGCCTCTGTGTCTCTGTGGCGTCTCTGCGTCTTTGCGTCTCTGTGTTTGTGCTTGGGTGGGTGGGCAGGAGGGTGGGTGGGCGAGTGTGTTTGATAATTCCCAAACATGTTGCAACATGTCCGTGACTTGTTGGTTTGCCGATGCTTGCCGCAGCAGCATGCAAAGACTGGATGGCGCATTCTCCACAACCGACCCGTTCAAGGAGTCTTCACCAGACATGTGACTGCACCATAGGTCCTTGTGATATCTCGCTAGGATCAATTTGGTGGATTGGCTGGACTCTGCACTTTCACCACTTTCTTGCCATCAATAACCCAGAGGCTATCCTAGCCACTTGACTCAGGTGATGCTGGCCTCGAGGCGCTGAGTCAGTGTTCGGTGTTGCGCACACAAAAGCGGCACGGACCAATCAAGCAAACAATAGTGGCTTGTTTGTTTTTGTTTAAGCTTGAAGCAACTTCCATGCAACCTCGGATTGGCTCTGAGAAATTTGAGGCAGCTTGTCACACGCCACCTGGGAGTAGCACGTCTTATCTTAGAATTTGTTCAGGTGTGTTGTCAAGCGAGCCTAACTGGAGGTTCTTGTCACTGACACCGAAAACCCAGGTGAGGTGATTGTAAATAGCTTCGGATTTGCGTTTCTCCCTCGCGTGCGCCGGATAAAAGGAGGAGCGCCTGTCATTGTGTGCAGGTTCAAATGCCACCATGAAGCTTTGCTTAGCGGGTGTTTGCAACCCCCACACACACACACACACCATTGAGGCAGCCGTCGCTTTTATTGTTTGTCATTGGATGTCATTGGAAACTGTTGGGTTGCTGCATGCACGCGCATGCAGGCAGCGTCGTGTGACAAGTTTGCGCAAGACTGGATAGGGTCTGGCCTGCTGCGTTCCAGGCAAGGTTGCTTGGTTTTGCTGCGCCAAAAGCGTTTTGCAGAAGGCAAGTCCGGTCACCATCCCCAGCGTCACCGGCGTCGCCCGCATCACCTGGGCACGCCAGACCAACAAGGTCAAGCCTGCAGACCCAAAAGCTGCCGCAAAACAACGCCAAGAACGCACCCGCCGATGCTATGCCCGCGAGGCTTGCTGGTTAGTCGCAGCCATTATATAGATGTATATATTTTTTTGTTGGTGGCGACGCCTGTCGGGACCCTCACGCAGAATTTCAATGGTTGGTGTCAATAAACATGCGCTGCAAAGGGCAGGGTTGTGAGTCAAGCTTTGTCCATGATGGTGATTGCATCATTCGAGCCGCTGCCACCATGTGTGGGTTGTGTGCAGCAGCTTCAGCCAAGCGAATCGGTAGCACGACTGTTTCTTCGCGTCATGACCTCCATGGCTTTTGCCCGCGGCACGCAGATGTATCAGGTGATGTCTCCAAACATGCCTGGCCTGATTCAGAAGAACATGTGCAACGTGGGGCAGGTCAATTTGCCGAATTGCCACGGCGTGGATTTCTGCTCCATGGACATGAATGTCCACGCGAATTTGCCCGTGGCACCAATGAACAATGGCATGACCCCCATGGCCGTTCTTATGGATCCGCAGGGCAACATCATTACGACTCCCGCTTGCTTGGCACTTTTGTTAACACCAATGGTACCATTTTGGGGTAGGTGCACCCCCCCCATTTTAGTCTATTTTAGTGGGGATTGGACGGGGTTTTGACCCATAGCCATATGGTGCTAGAGGTTCACCATTGCGTTAGCGGCCAACAGCAGCTCAGGACGATGAGCATGCCCATGTATCCCATGAACATGACCCCGAGCCAGTGCGATGGCTCTGCGTGGAACCAGCAGAGGGCCTGGTCCGAGTATGACTGCCGCAACTGGAGCACCGAGTCTGAAACCTTCGAGACCATTCCCGAGACTAAGCCCAAAGATGACTTGCTGAAGCTGTCGTTGGATCGCCGCTCGCAGAGGCAAAGGATTGCTTTTGAAGGGCTCCGGTTCTTGGGCTGGGTAGGTTGGTGATGTCTGTGTTGATGCTTGTCCAATCATGAATTGTTGGTGTTGATGCAACTGCAAGCAGCACCCTATCTGTCAATTGCTGGCAACCAAATATGACTTCAGTTTTTATCGTTAAAACAAGTTTTGTTCTCTCCACACTTGTCTGCTGCATTTGAACCGTTGCCGCGTATCTTTTAAGGGGGAGAGACCTGAATCTGTTCCAAGTCTGGCGGAGGTTTGACACGGTTTGATCATATTAAGTGGGCGCTGTAGACTTCCAACATGGAACGCATGCCTATAAGGACAATATCGTATATTCCGGGGGTCTCTCAACATCTGAGGTCAGACACAAAGGTGCTTTCCTGCCAACAGGTGTCACTGGTCGCATTGCCGAGGCATGGGCTGCTGGAAAGTTCAAGCGATGATCCCAAAGTTTACAAACACCGAGCTCGAGGCCAGAACATTCGAACATGGCCGAACCGCGTGGCCAAATCACGTGAAAATCCAACGTGAATCTGCTGTTTGCTCTGTTTCTCACAATGGAAGTTTCTATGAGCAGGAGTCATGCTCAAGATTTGCCCAGCAGAACAGCGCTCTTCCTTATCACGCTCCTGAGGCTCAAACATCAAAGCCCGGCACTTTGCCACTTCTGGCTCATATGCGTACCTCGAAGAAGACCCTTTGGGCCTTTGGGTTTCCAACGTTCATCATCTTTGATCCACGTGTGAAGGTGCCCAACGATGAACCGTTTTTGGTTAGGTCCTTGGAGGACAATGCATATCAAGTCAACGAAGGCTCGTTGATGTCCACGGGCCAGTGATACATCTTCCTCAAGGGCGACTTTCCATGACGGCAGGACCTGGCAAAGCAGCTGAAAGGCCATGTGCGCGAGCTCATTGAGAGCCCCCATGGAAACCACGTCATGCAGAAGTTCATCGAGCCCTTTGCCGGGAAAGTTGGATGCTGGCTGCCGCGTTTGTGGCGAGCTCACGGATTTGGGGGTAACACTGAGCTCATGATGTAGGTGTTTTACTTGGGGATTCTTTGTGTTGGTAGTGGGTGCTTTGCGGACGTGTTTATGTATTTCCTTCTTTTCGGAAGGTGTACGCCTGCATGCGTTGTGCGCTTACTTGTGTTTTTGTGTTTGCGCCTGGTTGTTGTTTGTGTGTGTGTGTGCGCATTTGTATATGTATACATTATGTGTGCTCGCCTGTAAATGATGGAGAGAGCTCAAGAGTCCAGCTTCAAATCATTCCAACAGCATGTGGTGGTCAAAACAATTCCACAAGTTTCAACAACCTGCTGGTCTAAAAGGAAGCCAAAAGGGGGTTGTTAAAGTGGGTAAAACCATGACTCAAACCACTATTGTATGGATTTGTTTTTGTTAGGATTTTTGTTCCGCGAAATTCAAAAACAAACAAAAATCCCAAAAGAAATCCGCACCCTGATTGTGTCAACAACCTTTTGGGTTCCCTTTGGGGCCCATGGTCTACACGCTCGAGGTACGCCTCGCCGCAACGCTTGGGCTTCGTACTGCGGGAGCTGAGCGCGTGGGCGCCGGCGCATTTCTTGGCACAGCACCGCTACGCCTGCCGCGTGTTGGAGCGGCTTCAGGGCCGATTTAGCGCGTTTGGCTCAAACGAAGGCCAGGTAGTTTAAGGCCGTGTGTGAATGAGGCTAAACTGGGTTTCTCAAACATGAATCCTCAATCCTTGTGCCGGATAGTAGTGGTTTCCCGGCAGTGTCCCACGGATTAATGGATTAGGATGAAACATTCACCCATTTTGGACGACACTGAATTTGGGTTTAGCCACGAAGTCAGGCCAGGAATCTACGGGGCAGTGTGTGTGTGTGTGTGTGACTGTGTGTTGTAGTTTCTCGGTTTTCTCTTCCAACCCGAAGGATGGACACCAGGCTTTTAGATGTTGAGTGCTGATGAATGGGAGCTTGCGCATTTCAGTTCTCGAGATTGAGGGCTTCTATTGGTGTTTGGTGTTTGGTTTGCACGTCAAGGGAGGCTCGGCGTGAGGACTTCCGGGTTTGGTTTCAGAAAGACGATAGCAAAGAGTCCTCCCTGGAAGATTTGCCCTGAAGCTCTGGAAGTCTGACGTGCAAAGTTTGAAGTTTGAAGCTGACTGGTTTTCGGTTCGCAAGCGGGTTGGTGCAAGCCACGGTATGAAGATGGATGTGGGAAGTGACACCTCATGTTTCTCAAGAGTCCTGCCCCTGCAGGAAGACTCCGGCAAGGTATGTGTTGGCACGCCATTTTCACGAAGAATCGCCTTAAAGCCCTAGAGCAAGGGTTTTTTCCCGTCCTCCCTCCGCATTCAAAAAGAGTAGGCTTGGGATGCTTTGGGAAGGAGTTTCAAACAGGATCCGACTTGAAAGCAGAGCTTCTGCTTGTTCAGACCCACATCCCTACCAAAGCTCAATCCGAACCCTTCGAGCACCCTTGGATCTGAAGGTGTCAGAACCTTCCCTGGATAAAGTGATAGTTTTCTTCCCTCTCCGATCTTTCTGTTATTTCTACCCTTCGACAAGAACCTCAATCAGAAGCTTGTACTGCGCAGCGCACTTGAAGAGAAATCTCACAGTGGAGGTGGTTTGGGAGGTATGGATCTCTTTTGAAACTAGTTGGATTTTCAAGCACAACTAGATATGAACCAGAAGCAGGCATATTGCTTTAGGTTGGGCATGTTGGGCCAAGGCTGAGGTATGGTCAGTGGAGCTGCAGGATACCAGAGTCGAACATGACCTTCCTTCGGTTGTCGAAACGGCCGAGCCCAGGATCCTGGAGCACTTCCCTGAGGAGCCCATCGCCGGCATGTTGAAGAGCCTCGTGGACCACACGGAGGAAAACGAAGTCTAAATCGGTGGCGTCGCCTTTGGGTTTGTCTCCTAGCGCAAAATGGGGTCTTCATCACCAAAACAGACACCACTTTGGCGAG